TCTAACGTCCTCTGACCCAGCAATGGCGCCTAGAAGCAAAATTTAGCAGCCAGTTTTCAAGGAAACCGCTTCGCGCCAGTGGCATTCATAGCTATCAAAGAGCGTTACCTTCCACTTTGAAATCATATTCATTCAAAAGTTTTCGACAATACCACAATATAATAAGTGGAAAACGAATGCTGCATTTCTAAGTGTGTTAAATGTTTTTAAATTATTTTCTTCGCAGTGTAAACTGATGTCGTTAACAGGCAATGCACGGTGTTGCATCGAATGGATCATATTTACGATAAATTAGCAAAATTATTACATTTTTTAAGTTAAGTGTTTTTAAGCCGTTTGCCTATAGATTAAAACGCTGTATTGGCTATGCACTGTGTACTCTTGTAATTACATGCAGTTACAACATCCCAAATGAGAAGCACAGAGTCCTGGCTGTGATGTAGCATTTTAAAAGTTAATATTAATAATATTATTAATATTAATCTCCCAGTCTTCGGAATTCCAAATGAGGAATCTTCTCTTGCCAAAAGAAAAACATCTTGCATTGATTTCTAAATTGTGTTATTACACATATTTCTTTCGAAAATTGTTTTTAATCGAATGATTTGAAGAAAGTGAACATTTCTTTACATTTTACACAGTTAAAGATGTAAAAATATCCGGATGTCTGCGTTTTTGTTTTATTTTGATAATTGATGCTAACATATTCAACGATTTGAGATTAAATTATACAATTTCAATTAAATAAAGCCATGTTTTGAAGCTTAAATTTCGTTTAATGTTTTCAGTGTTAACTACAGTTCTCAGTAACATTTGTGACGAGCGTTTATTTTTGTCTGGTATTACAGCACTCTTCACATTTCGACGATTTCGCGTTTTAACAAAGACATTTTATTCTCCATTGCTTATTGTTATCTTTATGTCCCATTATTTTTGAAATGTCATTTTAATTGTGGACACATTACGAATCTCAAAAACAGCAAAAAAAAATCTCAAATCTCTCTAACGTTTCTGAGGGCAGTGAATCACGATCTTTTCAGTGTTTCAGTCCTTTAAATCAGCTTAAGGATTAAGATTTTATGTTTTCTTAACGGTGAACTTGATTCGTTTCTAAACTGCTAACGTTAACATTAGCATCCTCACCAGAAGTAATGTTTTTCAAGTTTTCGTTAAAACCTTCATTAAGTATTAGAAACTAGGTCAACTGATCTGCGATTGGAGCCAAATGAAGCATATTATTATTAAAAATTATACATTTATTATAATTTTTCCGTTTTTCTTATTCATAGAGAAAGCTAAATAAGCCTTTATTCAGAGACACTAGTGGGCTAGCTTTGTAACTTCTTTAAATTTCTTCCGTTCTTCACTCGTTCTTACATTCCCATACAGAGGCATCATCAGTCTTTTCTAGTTTTCAAGTATTTTTCAAGCATTTAGAAAACAGTGCCTCTTTCGGTGTCAGCCCATCCATTTTTAATTAAATCTCTGTTCACCATAAATATATTCCTTTCTCTTTGTGTTCAAACTACATAAACTGTATAGTTAACTGCTAATCTGTTAAAATCAGTTTACATCTGTTCTTTTAAAAAAAAAATCATATTTTTACAATAATATCTAAGAACCAGTATTACTCCAATTGTATTAAACAATGTATATTTTTTAGCTTACAGTTGAAATCATTAGATTTATTTTATCATAGTCAATATATGTCACTTCTTTCTTTTTTTTCACCTCTGCTTCAGGCAGTTTTTGCATAAGTCAATCGATTAAGCGACAATATGATCTAATTTAAAGCTAGATTGCTGAATGAAGTTGACTCACACAGTTTAAGAACTCTAACAACACTGACTCATTTGACTAGTCAGCCTGCACAAATGAGTATACCAGTAAATTCAAGTAAGTCAGTGAGTAAGTGTCCTTAAAACATTTAAGTCAACACCACAACAGACAACTGAATTTTACTTGCTGGAGAACTGAATACTTGCCGGACACTCATTACTTCATGATTAACTGGAGAAGTTGAAAACAGAAAACACCCTCAAACGTAGCCCATTATTTGCTATACATCTATGTATTTATACCATATATATATGTGATGTATTAGCCTATAATATTTCAGATCGCCTTTTCGCTCAATCTACACTTTTATGCCCATCTACCCAACTATTTTGACCCTCCGCTGCGTTAAAATATAATTGTTCTTCCACTGCTTGTATTACTGTTGACCAGCTGTACACATTGCAGTCTTTGCATTAGTAAAGAGCATTAGTAGGGTAGTAGGATTATTAGGCTACACACGTCAGTTACGTCAGGAAAGCTACTCTCAAATCACCGATGAGCTGCAAACCAGTCTTCCAAAACCACAACCTCATCACTGCAGGGGGATGAAAACTGGCCTTGAGATTTGACTGATTTGACTAGACACGAAGACAGGCCTCACTTTCTACCCGCCATTTTATTGGACACTGACGTCCTGCAGGCTCTGTTATTACTCCGTGCAATGGAGGCCTATCTTACCTGTTGCACCTGAATCTGAAGGCCGCTCACATACATCCTGACATTTAACACGCCTCTGTTCCGAGTCTCATATGGCGGGTAAAGTTTCACGAAAATTTTTTAAACTGGAGTTTTAGTTCACTAAAATGTGATTTATATATAGATGAATATCGCCTTTAAACACACAGTGTAAACGCTGTTTACACTGTGTTGGCTGTGTTGATTGCCCTATGTTTCACTGTTCTGCTATTTGTAATCTTATTGATGCACGTGTCCAAAAATACATATATAACATAAGATAGGAATCCACCAGCACACGTTGTACGTTCATGTTTGAATGATTTGTCTGTGTAGCTGGGATGTTGTTTGCTATATTTTACGTTTGATTTTAAGTTTTATTTTACAGAACATATCTGGTATAAATAAACATTTCCAGCTAAAATGAATTTTTATGTTTCTGAATATTTATTTTTTAAAATATTCTCAAGTACCAACAATGAGAATATGCGCGATGATTCATGCTAACTCCATTTGTTATCATACGTCGTAGGCTATTTATGTATGGACTAAATCTATTTATTTTTGCTTGTTGATATTACGAATCTCTTGGTAAGGCCTCCTTGTTTAAATTAAATAAAATAGGGACGTGTTTTAACGTCGAACTGATTTATTTTTTCTCCTCAGATTTACAGTCGCTGTGTTATAGTCCATACATTTAAGAGCGAAGAAATTACTGAATATTTTAATGCAATTTAACATATTTGCCATATTTGCTATGTTTCAACTATCTATGAATCTTGTATAAATAAGCTTACGTAAAAATCGTTAACAGAACGTGTTGAATAACATCGTTAATTAAATTATTTGAAAATTAGAAAAGGTCAGGCTGAGAAACGACAAATCAAGACCTAACAATACTATCAACTACAAAGCAGAATGATTCATAAATACAAAATGCACCAACGAATATATTCTAGTTGTAATAGAAGACACGTGATTAAATTCGTTCTGCGGTTATGTCTAAATTTCTGAGATTTATCAAGACTTAAACATTTGAATGATGTTGCGTTGGCTCTGAGAACATCCGCTGGAGAAAAAACATCTATGCGTCGTCCAAAAATCACGGATGATGAGAAAGTGTCCATGCGGAAACTCCCTGCACTACATCTGGAGAATTAACACGCAGGACACCCATGAGGCTGAGCTGTCCATTAGCCATCCTTTCAAAAGATTTTTTTCACACCTCCTCGACAAAATCCGCAACCAATTCCCAAAAAAAGGAATCAAGGACGAATTCGGCTTCTAAAATCCTCTTCAACTGCGATGAAGTGCAACCAACTGAACGCGTGTAAAACGCCGTATTTGCTCCTCTTAGCTAAAGTTTCAGAAGTGAAGCGGCGGGCTAGTAAACGCCAGAAAGCTTCTTAAAAGCGTTGCATTCATCAGACAGTTCTCACCATTGGATTCTTCCACCCTTTTGTGAGCTTTGAGACGGTCCTTCAAAGCCTGAATGGACCAACAGGCGCAGCGTCGCAGCCAGACGGCAACTTTCAACTTGACCTTGGCCTGCAGACGCGTAAAATGGGCAGACAAACACAGACACTGTTCTCCGTCTTAGCATCTTGTAAACACAGCGGAAGTGGCCGGGGCATGGACTCCAATCACATTAGCACCATTTCTCCTATCCGTCCACCAGAATTCATTCTATTAAAATAGACTGTTGATATTCGTTCAGCTGAATCTGGATTCATGTAGCCATCTGGCATCCCTGCAGTATTATTATAGTATGACTAAATAGTTGCTCTCTTGTGGTAACAAGAAATCATAACGAAGTGCGAAAATAGAGTGAGTGACCCTTATACAGTCCACTTATAATGCATTATCTCCTCGGGGTTTTCTTTTCTTTATCTACGTGTAATAATATGTTAAATGGCAATGAATATAGAGAGGGAACAATACCTCAAAATAGCAAATTCAGAAAGAGATCATTTGCCCACCATGTCGATAGATCCATTGTGAATAAACAGTGACCTCATTGGCTGCCGACAGGACCTTTGTTTCACAAGGACAAGAGACTGGAATCATGCAAATTCGTTTCAAGGCAGCATGAATCCGCTTGTGGGGGATTCCTGAGGCTGACGCAGCGGCAGAAAATCTACTTTTACCTTCCACCATAAATTTGACTTGCGGATTTACGTTATAAGAACGTGGAGGGCTTTACACACTTTGGCGCTCTGTTTTGAGCACCTTAAAGCGGACTAAATCCTTTAAGCAGAACAGTCCTTTTATAGCACCGCATTTTCATTAATTTAATTGTTTGCACTTGAAACGTTTCGTCCGCCTCAGACGTGTCACGTGGCCGGGCCCGAGCCAATGACTGCGCGACCTCGGACGCGCACGGGGGCGCGTCAGAGTCTCTTGACTCTCGCTCAATCGGCCGTCTCCCGTTTTTCAGTCTGCGAGCTTTTTTAAAAAGAGACACACGGCTCGATGTCCGACGGGCTATGACAACGTCACTGCTCCTCCGCCCGCGCTGGATCGACCCGGTCATGTTCCTTTACGATAACGGCGGCGGTTCGGACGACGCAGGCAAGAACATGGAAGGATTCCCGGGAAGCAACTTCGCACCGAGCTCGTGCAGGAATCTGATGGCGCACCACCCCGCCTCCGCGTACACGTCGAGCGAGGCGGCGGCAGGGACTGGAGCGGGCGAGCCAGGCAAGCAGTGCAGCCCGTGCTCGGCCACGCAGGGCTCCGGCGGCGCTTCGCTGCCGTACGGCTACTTCGGTGGCGGCTACTATCCGTGCCGAATGGCCCACCACCACGGGGGCGGGGGTGGGGTGAAGTCGTGCGCCCAGTCCCCCGCCTCCGCCGCTGCGCCTTACGGGGAGAAATACATGGACATGTCTGCCACTGCTGGCGAGGATTACGCCACTTCCCGAGCGAAAGAGTTCGCCTTCTACCCGAGCTATGCCTCCAGTCCGTACCAGCCGGTCCCCAGCTACCTGGACGTGCCTGTGGTGCAGGCTGTGAGCGGGCCCTCGGAACCCAGGCACGAGCCTTTATTGCCAATGGAAAGTTATCAGCCGTGGGCTATCACCGCCAGCAGCTGGAACGGCCAGGTCTACTGCACCAAGGAACAGCCGCAGACAGGACACATGTGGAAGTCATCTTTACCAGGTGACACGAGCTTATATAAGGGTAGATTAGCCGTCACGTTCGGAAGGAATTTGCTGTGCAAAAATAAAGTGTTTCTGTAGTCGTAAAAATACAGTAGGCAGTGCTGTCATGTGGTGTGACTCTTTGGAATATATAGCTCCCTCCATAACGTCCGTCATAGTATAGCCACTGGCTACTTTTTCACGCTATGCTAAGCCTCAGGGTCTGATATTTGGCAGTTCATTAGCCGTTACTTTCTGATGACGTTGAATTCCATGTTTATGTAAGTGATATTCAGTGGCGCCAAATTACTGTTTCTAAACCATTCCTCTTTCCGTTCCTCTATCAGAAGCAATGCCCCACGGAGGGCCAGAAGCCAGTTCATTCCGTCGAGGGAGGAAGAAACGCGTGCCTTACACCAAGGTGCAGCTGAAGGAGCTGGAGCGAGAGTACGCCGCCAACAAGTTCATCACCAAGGACAAGCGTCGGCGGATATCGGCCCAAACCAATCTGTCCGAACGGCAGGTCACCATCTGGTTCCAAAACCGGCGCGTCAAGGAGAAGAAAATTGTCAACAAAGTGAAAAATAGCAGTTAGCTATTCACGACGGAAGAACAAAAACTCTAAGAGAACACTTTACGTCGATGAACAGCCAGCGCACACACCCAAAGCTATGTATTCCAAAGCTATCCAAATTCCAGACAGTGATTTTTTTGTGTTTGCCTGGACTACTGCATCGCAGGGGCCGCTTGTTTTGGAGCTGACAGGTTTGATGGTGACGCGGTGCGTCAGGTTTTTTTTTGTTGGTTTTTTTTGTTTGTTTGTTTTTGTTTTTTTGTTGTTGCTCTGTGCCACGTTAAGGCGCACAGTATGTGCGGCCAAACCCTCAACTCAGGACAAAGAAGGTCCCTGATAAAGTGCGTGTATTTGTGTTGCAATAATTCATATTTACGCTACTCTTGGCAGAAATTTTTGACGAAAAACATTTTGGATGTTGACTGAAAATATCGACGATATCGTAGCTTGCTTGACTGTTCGAACTGTCTTTCACTGGCTCCGTTGTCTACTTTGACTCAATCAGTGTCTCGCTTGCTGTCTCACGCTTTTCTGCTCAGTGATACAGATTCTGTGGGAGGAAAGCAGGAGCCAGGTGTCTTCCTGTTTCATGTACAGCAGCCCAAATGTGCTCTTCTTTGTGCCAAAATGCGTCCTTATCTATCTGAATATTGGAGTGACTCATCTGTGTCTATATCGTCCTATTAGTGTTCTTCAACACGTCCGTCCCAAATAAACCACTGGTTTACTGAGTAACGACTAAACCTTTTTTTTTTCCCTTTCTCTCTTTCCCAAAAAGAGTTTGCACAATTTCCACCTAACCCAACCGTAGATGATCGACTAAGACATGTTTGCGTCTTTAGTTTTGCACTAGAGCAGTATAGCCAACAAGTAATGTCAGTCTATGACATCCAAAATCTTATAGTAGCTCCGTAGCTCCACTGCAATGTCTTGGTGAACCATATTTGGGATAATTGGAAATGTGAGTAAATTTGATTTTTCTTGAAATACATGTATTCATTCAGTCTAATGGATAATTCAGTTGTCTAGATGTAGTGAACAGACAAGCTAATGTTCATATTGGAAGGTCGCCAAGACTTTACACAAGCCTGTCAGTCAAAATTATTTACTGCGAAGAGGATTCACTCCTCTCCCTGCTCTGGGAGACGTGCGTTGATACTAAGTCCTCTCTGAACCACATGAAGCCCTGTTTTGCATTGGCTTGCATGCAAACTCACGATAAACTCCTCGCAAAGTACATCGCCTACCATAATCGCTGGACAGACGTGATTCTATAGATTGACTCTTCAGAATTTCAAACCGAAGTGTGTAGTGATATATAATTACAGCCTGGTTTTACTTGTGTTGCAGGTTTACATACATCAGTATATCAAAAAGAGATACAACTCGCTCAGTCATACTATAGTATCTTTTTTTGCTTGTTTATACTAAATTAAGGCCTACGCGTCCTGCGCCTGCTCCGCAGGCTTCTTTGGTAGAGCAACACCGCCATCTGCTGGTAAGCTTGTTGTAGTTCAGTCACAGTTACCTGTTAATGCTTCCTCTAAAACGCAGCTCTAGGTATTGTATGCGATGTTCATCGCATTGTATTATCACACCAATAGCAGCTACTAATCCCATTGACAACAATCATCTTTTTATTATCACCATTTTAGAAATTGCAATTTTAGAAAGTATAAAACAGAAGTCAATGATTTCTAACAGGAATTAAGTTGTTTAGGCTGATACATATGGCTTCTACTTAAATATATGAATAATGTACCTATAGATTCACACATCTGATTTATGATAATTCTCAAACCCACAAGATCAAATATTCAATAACTTTATCATGCAGTTTGTCATTTAGTTATGGGACTTGGGCAAAGTATAGGTGTAGCTGGAGAGGATATATTCTAGGGCACTTTTACAGAAATTCTAAATTCTGAAGTAGTAAAATATGAAGGGTAATATAATAATAATAATAATAATAATAATAATAATAATAATAATAATGAACACATGCGTGTGCTTTCTCTAACTTATACGTCCATCTCAATTCTGTTCGTCTTTCAGTTTTTTTTCAGTTTCTCTACAGCTTTTCAGCACCATAACATGAATTGTCAGAGCACGCACTTCTCTGGACTTCGAATTTTACAACATCATTTTGGGGAACTGTGTTGTTTCTGTTAAAAGAAGTTGTATCCCGTAAGGCAAATTAGAATTACATGAAAACAGTAAATGAGGCCTGCGGTCATAAAAGCGAAAACGTCTGTTAAGGTTATGTAGCGTATTGACACGTATTTCAATATTCAATATTCTATATATCTATATCTATATCTATATCTATCTATATATCTATCTATCTATCTATCTATCTATATATATATATGTATATATATATATATATATATATATATATATATATATAAAACCAGAAAATTACTTTACATGAACCGTAGACGCGTCGTAACTCTCATAGTGGTAAGGTCTTTGGCAACAATATCCAGCTGTTTAGCCCTTTTGCTTCATTTACTTGTGTTTTGTAAAGTAACAACAACAACAACAACAACAACAACAACAACAATAATAATGATAATAATGCTAATGATAATAATAATAATAATAATAATAATAATAATAATGTTCAGTGTTCAATTTTCAATTTAGCCTACTGATAAGTCCTAAGCAAATCAATAAAATGTTTCATCGTTGTTAACGTAAATAAATGCACATAATACATTCACAAGAAACGTCTTGTAATACCAGTCATTGTAATTGTTCTTATACCAATTCGCGCGCTGGTTTGACAATCGCTGTGTGTGTTTTTGCAATCCTTTTATTTATTAAAGAACAAAAAAATGCATTTTATTATATGGCATTTAGATGTATTACTATACAGATAATTCATAATTTGCACATAGTTTTACCACGCATCTGTCAAATCATTTTTCACGTATACATGATATAACCTGTTGGGCTTTGAATATTTTCGGCATAACTCCAGATCTGTGGTCTGCAATGCGCAGCGGGTAAAAGGAGGCTGTAGATGTGTGGACAGCTACTGGACAGACTTCCCCAGGAAGGTCTATGTTGTGTTTTCTTTTCAGAATGTGTTCATCTTGGCTGTTTTCGGAGGAGGATTAATGGGGTGTTGCAGTGCAACTCTGCTTCGCCAACACACACACACATACACATACACCACCGCTGTGGCATACACTCTTAGTAAAAAGCGTTCTATACAGTACCAAAGAAAGGTACTAAATTGTCACTGCTGGTTGTCCTCAGTGGTGCGTCTTCTGTACCAAAATCCATTATAGTGATAATTATTAATTTGCGTTGATTCGCCTTGTCTGCACTCCAGGCGTTTTATTCTATTTTTCTATTTTAAAAAGCCAAGACTGGAAAAAAAAATAAATTGTATTATACCTTTAAATTTTTTATTTTGTTTATACCTTCATGAACAAAATGTACAGTACAGTACAGAAATGTAAAAGTACTGTACTTTCTCTCTGACAGTGTATGCATTAAATTATCTTTAAGTCTTACTTTATATATATATATGCACTGTTAGAAATAAAGGTACTTTATTTTTACTTATGTTTTTCGTTCATCAAGGTACAAACAATGTAAATGTACTCTCAAAGGTGGCCTTGAGGTCCACCTCTGCACCTTATATACACGTGTGTGTGTGTGTGTGTGTGTGTGTGTGTGTGTTTCTGTGTGTTTGTGTGTGTGTGTGTGTGTGTGTGTGTGTGTGTGTGTGTGTGTGTGTGTGTGAATAATAATAATATTTTTTTAACCGATACTTGGCGGTAAATTAATTTGTTTGTAAGTCTATTATCTTTATACTGGTAACAGCTTATACATCTGTTTATAGTACCAGATCTATACGTTCACTGTCTTTAAAAAGCATTTTATTTTATGTAGGTTCATGTTGAAGGTTTGTTTAGTTAGTTATTCATTCTAAATGCTTATCACCTGATCTACTGTTTCCTTTTCAGTTTTTGCTCAGTCCCCATTTTACAGGCAGTTGTTGGTGAATTTCAATTATTGAAGTGTTAAGCCTTCATTCATCATGAAGCGTTAATAAGAAGAGCTTGTTAACGTGAGCTTTGTGTGGACTACAAGTTCAGGGTTTGACGTTGCAGTGCGAGCGCGCCTGCGTGTGGACCTACTCACCGTGCACGCGCATTCACGCAAGAGCGCGCACGTCATCCAGGAAAAGAAAGAAAAGACGAGCTCAGGGAATCCAGCCTTTGCTGTAAAAACCGGGTTTCTGGCGCCACCTACCGCACCAAGCAGCAACAGCAACTGAAACTCCAGCCTGCAAGCTGAATGTTGTTCCATGTGGGGCAGAATGTGATTTTCATACCTTTTATTGCATTTAGTTTTCTGAAAAAGTAAAATTGGTGGGTCAAATTACTGCATAATTAAATAAATTTCTGAATTTGTAAAGCATACTACTTAAAAGCTTTATATTAAACTGACATTTTGTTATTTCATTACATTCAATATTGAGGTCATTGGTTTGTGCATGACGTTGCTTGAAGTTCTCTGATTCCTTCTGGAGATTGCGCCACATCGAAACTGGCCTCATAGTCTCCGATATTTTTATATGCGGTACAATATAGTGGGGAAAATCCAGCCTTGTGTGAGTTCTTACACTGTACCTATAGCACGCTGACCTTCGGTACTGGTAATCTGTGGTCAGGCTGCAGGCTGTACAGGCTTGATGGAGATAAAGTTTTATGAATGGCTGGTAAAATGGCGCTCCTTCTCTCAGGTTTCGGCCTGTGAGCTCTCAGCGGGTTTATTGCTCGGGGTGGTCGTCTAGACAAAGAAAGTCAAAGGCAATAGGCAATATCTTTATTACAGACCTAACCAAAATACAATGTTGGGTCTAAATTTAGTGGTGAGTATGGTCATAATTGTTTATAGGTCGAAAAGCACACTGTATATTTGGTTAATATTAGGTCTATCTTACAAATTATAGATCTGGACATGTACTGACCACATACTTACAGACCTGATTTATTTAT